GCTGAACAGCATCTGAACCGCACTGTTGGAGGTGCAGGATAATACGCAGTTCAAGGAAGTGACTCCCTGGATCATTTAATGATCATGTAAGAATTATATTTTAAAAACTGTGCTAATGCAATATTATCATTGACTTCAAATACACAGAACACCAGGAGATGCAGACTTAGAGTTTTAGTCAGGACAGCTGTACATGAAATAATGCTGCTTGGGGCTTGGGTAGCACTTTCTGACCAAATTTATTGAGTCTTACTGCCCCAGGTGAGTTAGATACAACAGTCCTGGCCCTTATTTTACGGAGAGGGAACTAAGGCATGGAGAGGTTACACAACATCACAACAAGTCCTAGTTTCAACTCAGTTTTGGTAAATATTAGGTAACAGTCACTCTGTCCATTACTGCATGACCTTTCAATTAATAATTGTAAGTTGATTCCACCCTTTCGGAAATCAATAGCACCAACATCTACAGTGGCACTGACTTTAACGGAAAAAGAAGCAAGCTCTTTCATCTGCTTTATCGCTGTTAATCATACTGTTTGGCAAACAAGAGTAAGAATACTCCACAGGAACATTTCTTGGATGAAGTTGATGAAGTTAAATGTTTAAGCAACAAGGGATGAACACAAATTTTAACAGTCACTACTTGTCCTGGAGAAGTAAATTCATATTCACAATAAATGGTGTAAAAACACAACAGAAACTCAGTGCATAGACCCCAACTTAAGAAAACTAATATCTATACACTAAATTCAATCCAATTCATGAGACTATGTAAATATAGCATTAAATTTTTAAGCCTGTTTTTCAATCCCTGTGGCCTAATTGGAAATTAAGTATATGCTGAATACTGTTCTGAAAAATGATGGTCTTCCGACTCTGTTTTAAATACTTAATTCTTCTAAGTTTGTTTATAGTATACTTAAAATTCAACATATGGGTAAAGCAGTGGTAATGCTATTTAGTAAAGAGAGCTGCAACTCTCTCATATAGTAGTCACTTTTAAAAAAAATGCAAATTTTGACCTAGATGAAAATACTGTCAAACTTTAACACATTCAAACATATTTCATTTTTCATTAAGCCAATTACACAATTATTAAAAATATAGCTTTGAATAAATCTACAAATATTTATTTTTAGAATGAAATCATAAAACACAGCAATATTAAAATAACTGATAGCATGAACATTCTATCAATTTTATTTGTACTTACCAGTATTGTAATATAGATTTTTAAATAATTTAAACTTACCTTTTTCAAGTTCACTGGATATCATTTGAGTCATATTCATGGGTTTTTTTTAAACACTAAAATAATAATGAAGATTTAAAATACAAAAATACTAAACCTAGAACCCCAAACTGATAGGCAGGCAGTTTCATAGCTGTTTCTGTGCCTTTAATGGAACTGCGCACACCTAGGATTAGCCCTTAGTTGGAATGATTATATGGAAGGCATACGGCTTTTTCTGAAGGTTCAAGTTCGAACTTGAAAAAATGTATTTCTTTTCTGAGCAGATCTACCAAACCTGTAATTGAAAACAATACTGCTCAGATCTTGAAGTTGTTATTCACATGTAAAGCCAAATCCAGGTGCAATGAAATCTTTTGACTTCACCAGGAGTTCTGAGAAGACACTAGCAAACTGGCACATCGCTATGGACAACTGAGCGAGTTCCACTAATTAAAGAATCTCCCAAAGATAAAAAAATCACTACCTACTTAATTCTGATTTTTTCATTTGGTATACATTGAAAGAATACTAATGAAACAAACATGCATTTTACTTAACAAAGAGGATATGACTCGTCAGCAAATTTTACAGGTATCAGACATTTGTTTAAAATAATTTATGGCTACTCCACTATTAGAAGACATTACGGAACACGGACACCTATTGCATTGATCCTATCACCAAGCTGTGTATTCATATTATAGGACTTTTTAACATTAGCATGCTAACCATGAACAAGCCTCATACAGAATTTTCTGGGCCTCCTTTACAAAAGAAAAGAGAATGCACTTTTAAATAATTGCTTCCTTTTCTAACACATTACTTCAGATGCACAGAACCTGAGCCTTCATTAAAGTTCAGAGTAAATTCTATTTTAAAAGTGCCCCAATTCTGGTCAGACAGCTGAAACTGCAAAGACATTACTCGTGATCCACTGATCCACAGAAGAATTCAGAACACTACAGGAATCTAACACATGGAAAAATACTGATGTAAAGGGTATAAAAAAATGATGACTAAAAAAATGTTAGAGCTGGTTTGTCACAGAATGTATGCTCTATTGGTTTATATTTCTTCATTGAAATACTTTTCACTTCCCTCAAAAATTTGACATCCATAGCAATGGACAAACAGGAATTTTATGAGCAAGTAAGAAAGACAGACAGCAAAAGATAAATGATCAAAAAGAGAAAAGGGGAATTGAGCAAAGTGCATATTTACTAAGAACTTACTGTTGACAACACCGTATTTCTGAGCTATTAGTGCTGCCTGCAGGCTCTTCCCACTGCCTGGGGGTCCACAAAAGAGAATCCGTGGTGTAAAGGGGGCAGCTGATCGGTGCCGTGTTTGGACATAGGTAAGAACTAGAACATGACAGAAAGGCAAGAAATACAGTTTATAGCCTATTTCTTTTTTTAAAAAATAATAAAAACATTGATTAACTACTCTCTTTTTTTTTAAAAAAAAAGGTTGTCATGTTGATCATCATTTATTTTATCACTGAAACATCTAGATACTCCAACCAAAATCAGGACTCTGATAAAACTGTCATGTCAGCAACTTACACTGAGAGGCACTATAGAAATCTTACCATCATTACGCTCCTATACTTTCTTTCATCAGTAGATGTCAAACCGTTTTAAAGAGCAGATTCAATTAATAATTGCTCTTTTACCATGTTGTTTTTAGCAGAAGTCATTTTTGCTTGATAGGTACAATTTTACCATGCAAATTATAGAGGGATATAATTACATTTAATACTTTCTGCAGTTTCTGAACAAATATTTAAGTGTAAAAACTCAGGATGTTATATTAATATGACATTTATCCAGCTATGTGTGTGTGTGTGTGATTAACAGACTCCTAATTACAATATTATAGACTTGTAGCATAGGGTGTCACGACACAATACCGCATTGACAACACAGGACCGAGTATGATTTTATTCTTTTGTCCATCATTTTTGCATAATATGTAAAGGATATTTGAGTTTCTCTGTCTGATTCCACTCCATTTCTGGACATCATTCCTCTACATTTCATATCGCGTAGGAAATACTACATTCAGGTCTATCTACAGATTGCAAGAGCTTTGGAAAGACCACAGGACACATGAAGCATCATCAACATTGCTGTATTAGAGACAGCTGAGCTTCATTAGAATCTCAAAAGAGAACCTGATAGATCACCAAGAAGCTAAAAGACGACACGGCTTGGCAGTGAGGACAAATTAGATCGTATTTGGACACAGCCAAACACTCTTACTCTCCGTGCCCCTTTTATGGCTAACAACACTAGCAAAGTGAGCAGCTCAAGCTTCAGCACAAGCCATGCAAGCTTGCTAGGAATCATAGATGCAAACGCCAAGGCTAAAGCTCATGCCACCGCATCCTGACTGCCATGGTTATCCACGACTAAAGCAGCAGGGGCACACCTACACGGGCGTTGATTGCCTCTGTAATTGCAACGGACACAATTAAGTGTTAGCCCAGACATCTTCAGTTCATATAAAAGACTCTCTAGACTAAAGCGTCCTTGTAATAAAATGGTATTTTAGTCTAACAAATAGGACAGGCTTAGACGTTAATGTTTGTATGAATCATAAGCCCATAGTAAAAAAAAAAATCACAAAAGGATTGATGGAAAGGATCAGTATTTTAACTACCATTGATAACACATTGCTGTATACTAACTAACAATTTTTCTGAGGACTCTGCTAGACACTTTGGTATCATTATAAAATCTTTTCATAATACAGAAGCATCTCCAGCAAACTCCAGCCCTACTATTTCTAGACAGTGGACCAAAAGTAACTCAAACTGCAACCACATGGGATCACATACATCTCTCTCTCCAGTGCCGCAAGCTGTACTGGGATATTACACTGTACAACTGAATGCGATGTCACGTATCCTAGGGTACATTAGCAGTAATTGCATTAAAGTTTAACCGTTTACAAAATTTTATAATTGTATGAAACAATCCATAATAATACTAATATTGATGAGAGACCTCCTCTTTCTTTTTTAACTCTATCTGTAGCAGTAAAAATACTTAACAAAAAAACCTGGAAAAGCGTAACAGAAAATAGTGTCTTTGCTGCATTAACGTCCTAAAACAGAAGTATCAGCTACCCAAGGAGTGCTCTAGTTATTCTGAACATTTTCCATAACCCAGTGTATTGAAAAGCACAAACATTACAGGCAAAGCACCCTGCTTACAAATGATGCTTAATTTGCAGTAAATAACCAAGTTAATTAGGAGTAATGATCCCCTAGACAGTCTCCACATCTAATTATTCTTTAAAAAAAAAATCTGGCTGCTTGATGCACTGCAGAAAAAAGATCTAGAGAGGATTTTTTCATTCCAGTTTTCAATTTATCTCACTACATTATTAATTAATAATAATTAATATTCAGGCACTCACATTTTTATTTACAATTCAAGGCATGAATTCTTTATGAATGATGATATGAACTTTTAAATTTAATTAAGTAATTTAGAGGTAATTAATGTGTAAATTCAGAATTATAAACTTCCTACTTGTTTATCTTAAAAGTGCAGCACTTGTTATTAAAAAAAGACCTTTACGAGATGCAAAATTACTGGGCTATAACAGATCATCTACAGACTGACAGCTACAAAGTACATTATCAATTGGTCTTCCTGGCAGTTTCCTTATTCTCTTCTTGAAGAATCAACATTGAAAGTCAGATTGCATTACAGTCAAGCAAAGGCAAACGAGAATTGTTGAACAGAAAAGCTACCAGCACAAACAGCTTTTAAATAATGAAATGTTACCGGCTTTGAACTACTCCTACTTCTTGTTATCAGACTTGTGGAAGGTACCAGCCCTTTGGGAGCCAATTGAGCCACAATGCAGCCTTTTAGAAGAGACTCTCGCAGAAATAACCGTGACATTTGCTCTACTGAGTCAGCTATTCCTTGGCAGGACTGTGGAACTAAGACTTCCCAGTTATCTGCACTTACGGTAGTCCTGTAAAATAATTACCAGGAACAGCCCAAACGCCGTACTAGAGAGAACTCAACTCAGCTGGGAGCCATCTGTGTTGACTAATCCTAATCCTACAAACTGGCTCTAACGGCTAGGAGCTACCTTTCAAATAAGAGTTTATCATCGATCAGATTTGCCATAAAGGTACGTATTTACCCTGTGAGAGGACATCCATGGAAGGCTGGTCTGCATTGATCGATTTCAAAACTTTTTGGTAGATCTGGAAAACTCCAGGGAAGTTTCTGTGATATTTCAGCAGTTTCTTTGACATCTCCTGTTCAGATAGATCTTCTGGTTTCACCAAGCGTTGCTGTACCAGTGGATCACTTGGCCAGTCGAAGGTCGTATGGTACACCTCTAGAAGTTAGACACTGATTAGGAACTAAGAGGATGATTTAATAGGTCTTGCTCAGCAACAAAAGGTTTCCTAAACAAAATCAAGGTCTTTCTTTAAGCGTTATATAGAAGCAATAACCTAGCAATAACCTAACAATAATATAGAAGCGTTATATACAAGCAATAACCTGTGCGCTTCCCTCCCTACTTGTACTGATAGCTGACTATTGCTCTGCAGATGCACAGATAGGAAGCGGCCAAGGTAACTGCCCACCCATGCAGCCAAGACACCACGATGAGTAAGACCCAGGAACTGGGAGCAGCTCTCCAAATTCTTAGACTGAAACTTAAGCAAGACCTTTGATAAGCAGATCTCCTTTATAGCAAATAAAAGCCATTTCTTTAGTTAAGAACGTACCTCCTAATTCCACTCCTAAAACATCCAACGTGATTTTTTTATTGAGCAATGTCAGGATTTTATTTCGTGATGGATGATTGATACTCAACAGACAATACAGAGCTAAGTCTATTTGACAGTCATGTAATGGAAGATATCTAAAAGCGTATCTGCACCTCAAAAAAAACAGGATCTAGCAAAGATGCATAGCAAAATGTAAGCTCATATGGACAGATCTAACCTTCAAATATTCTGTACTGCCATAGCTTGCAGGCTCAATACTGAGCTTTACATTTTCCCATATTTTATTGGCACAGAAAATAATGCAAGGTCAACAAATACTTTTTATAAACCGTTTAAATTTATAATTATAAATTCCTACTAGTTCTTAGAGGGATACCATTTAAATTTTAATCCCCCTGGTATTACAATGTTTCTGAGACCAAGCAACACTCCAGTTCCTAGTGGAGATCAGGAACAAACACATACTGCACCTTCTGTGAAGGGGTCAAGCCTTTTCCCACTGTTCCTCTCAATCAGCACAGTGTCTGGAGCATAAAGCACAACTAGGCACAATAAAAAAAAAAAAGAAAAAAGAAAAAAAGAAAAAAAAAGAAGAAAAAAAAAAGAAAAAAGAAAAAAGAATTTAATCCCCCTGGTATTACAATGTTTCTGAGACCAAGCAACACTCCAGTTCCTAGTGGAGATCAGGAACAAACACATACTGCACCTTCTGTGAAGGGGTCAAGCCTTTTCCCACTGTTCCTCTCAATCAGCACAGTGTCTGGAGCATAAAGCACAACTAGGCACAATAAAAAAAAAAAAGAAAAAAGAAAAAAAGAAAAAAAAAGAAGAAAAAAGAAAAAAGTATAGCTCTTGTTAGTTACTTGCTTTATTTCCTGTCACGGTTTAGATGTAGCCTAATACTAAAGATGGACGTATGTATTTCAAGCACATGTGCCTCATTCTCCTTTCCCAGCTTCTACCTGCAAATGCTTTACTTCACTTTTAATCAGAGTTTTGATCCACCTCCTAAACAGTATAGTGGGACAAAATATGCATTAATCCAGTCCAGTACTAGCTGTCCCTGTCATCCATACCAATTAACAAGGTTCTCCCTTACTCATGTTGTATCTGGAGCCTAGGATGGAAGTACCCACAGATCACTGGAGACTGATTCTCTTCTATACGACAAACAATTACTTTTCACCCAGGTACTTTGGTAGTGAGACCAGGGAAACTTATTTTTCGATAACCTCACAGAAAAGTGTTCAAACTTGATTGAAAGCATCAAAAGATGGAGAATCTGTCAGTTCCCTAGGTTACTTTTGGCTAATCATCCTCACAGTTAAACACTGTAATTTAATTACTATTTTCAGTGCATTTGATTGCAGGTTTCAAACAAGTTCTTGTTATGACTTTCTTCTCTGTATCAAATAGCTCTTTCAGACACTTTTCTCCCTATTAAGGTACTCATACACCATAAATCTCATCTCCTCGCAATCTTCTTTTTGATTAACTACAGACTGAGCTTTAAGATTCTCATTCAGGTCTTGGTTGCACAGATATAATTGTGAGCAAAACTCAACTTCAGATGTTATTAGCTATATTAAAAATACATGCAAGTACTAGACATTAAACATTTTTGCCTAACTCTATTGCAGTGATTCCGAGTTCTTCATTAACAGTCAAATCTCATCCAAATCAAATCCAAAGTGACAATTCATCAAGTTCGCTAACATTCTGTTCACTATCCACTGGAAAGCTCTACATTTACCATTTTACACTGTATTCCACACAATCATAATGATTTCTTACATTCTAAGCAGGTCCTTAGACAACTGGCTGCTTCTAGGTGGCAAGGGAAGTTGTCAAGGTCTTGCTTATCAGTACTTTGACAGTAAACAAATGTTCTTCTCAAATCAAGTCAGAATCCACCCATACTCTGAAAGGTCAAGCTTAAAATCATGTTTCCGCTTCACTTGGTGGAGTAAAGTTTGCTAAGTTTGCATTCTCTAATTCAACAGAAGGACAAATTTGTATTTAGTACATGAAGAATTGTTTTGGCCTGAGGATCACTAAAGGCTGATTTCTAGAGACTGAAGTCAGAGAAAATTTGGACCCAACTCCTAGGACAGAAGCAAAGCTGCATACAGCTGCTCAGAGACACTTGCTGGGGTGGTTTCGTTGGTTTTGTGTTCCCCCCGCCCCGAAAAAAATACAGAAAATACTTACAGAGCTCTAATGTGTAAGAAGAAAAGGGTGAAAGACAGGATTTAAAATCTCAGAGGTTACCTCAAGTTTTTGAATGAATCTGAACCATACTGAAATATTCTGCTGTCTGGTGACTCTGATGTCTTCAGTATCGGTATTGAATTTATTGAGGACTTTTCGGGAGAAACACTTCTAGCCTTTCCTACTGGATGAAATCACACATAAACCTTGTGCTGCTTACCAACATGCCTAGGAATGATGCCAGATGACTGCAGCATCCATGCCTGTTCCTGATTTTCAGGGAAGCCTTCCAAAATCCATCCCTATTGAACAAAAACATGAAACAGTTATTGATCCTGGAAGAGAAAATACAAAAATTAGCACTAAATGTCAGTGCTATTCACACAAAAATTACCTCATTCTGATCGCACAACAGCACGTTATTTGTTATGGATGCTTGTGAGAGGAGAAAGCAAACATGGAGCATTGATATTTTTGTGAAATGGCATGCACTAATACCACTGCCACAGAGCAATGGGAACTTACGTATTGTAGCAATGATTTTTTTTTTTTCATGTTTCAATCTTAAAAAAAAAAAAAGAAACTTCTATCTTGAATAAAAAACATCTCAAAACAATTTCTACAGTTTTGAAATATTCAAAAGGATACCAGCCCACACTGTGTATAAAAAAAGAAGCTAAACAAATCTAAAGACAGATTTAATGCCAAGAACAGTGAGGAAAATATGCACGCTTTCATTATTTTCTTAAATTATACAGGAAAACTCACAGTAATGGAACCAGCGTTCCCAAAGCTAATGAAGCAACAGAGCAAAAGAAAGAAAAAAGAAAAAAGAGCCTTTTGCTCCCTTAAGTCCTTGTTATAGCCAGCTAAGTGTTGGATTGAGCATCTTTAAAAAAACATTTACAGATCTGTGAAATACCGTAGGAGAGCTGCAGCCTCACTCAGTTTCTGTGTGATGCAGTATTTGAAATCTAATCCACTTCCCAGCCTCAAGTCTGAATCTTCTAAACTTTGTCTAATTTATCTGTTAGTTGCTTAACCACACGTGTCCTTGGTCACTATATCCTACACCTCAAAATAACTTTGTGATACTACAATAAATCTGGAAACCATCTTTGTACTGAAATAAAGAAGATATTTTAATATTGCATTAGCTAGCAATCATTATCATCTCCCACATAAATTTGAAGCTCTGTCAGTATGGGGTCCAAAGGTTTTAGAAGTATTTCAGGGAAACATATCTCCATGACTTCTGTAGGAGGAAATTGGGACATGCCAATTATACAAGAAAATAGAGTAGACTATTTAAAATTCCTTAATTAGCCTGGTTTCAGGAACATGTCATCCTGCTGATATCTGTAGAAAATAAGAGACTCAAGTAACTGCAAGCCATTTTTGCCACTCTCAGTGTTTGCTCTATCGAATTAGAATGAACCGCTGTCTAAGGTCACACAGGTGCTGAGAAATCAATTTATCCCTTGGGACTTGCAGGAGGCAAGGCTGCACAATATTTTTAGCGGTATGCTAGGAACTTCAGCACTAGTTCTGAATATATTATGCCTGTACAACATATATATAGGCCCAGATCCTCTTCTAGGGAGAAATGGCATCAGAGGTCTGAAGGCAATAAATCTACGCCAATTTACACAGACTACAGATCTGGCTCACTTTCTCCACTCCAAGTGCAACACTTTTGGAAACTAAAAGAAAACAAAGACAAACCACCCCACAAAACCATTGCCTCTGCTGTCACTATAGCTTACTGCTCAAAATCACATACTGAGCAACAGGCAGTAAACACAGAATATTGTTTTTTAACGATGTATAGTGAAATTCAAGAGGTTTATATAAAATTTTCAAAGGTCCTCAAAGTAGGCAATAAGCAATTATCTAGCTAAAAGTTTTTGCAATGTAGGAAAACATAGCTCAATAAATAGCTTCCTGCAACAAATACGTTTTAAGGCATTAAACAAATGCAAAATAAACACACACTACAAAAATAGTTAGCATTTTGGATCTGATTTCCAAAGGTCTCCGAGTTCCAGGGTATCAGTCAGTCCCTAATTAGAATACATTATCCATCTACTTGACACTTCAGTGAAATGTCTATTCCACCACAGAGCTGCAGCTTTGTTCAGAACAGGTTTATTGATATTCTGCTGCATTCCCTCTCCATACCCCCAGTGGCTTGGTTCTGTTTTATCACACATCAAAAAGGCCGTATGCTCAGGGCACCCCATGCACAGCTCAGAGCTGGAGGTCTGAACAGCTGCAAGTAGTATGGTATCACAGGAGGGACAAGCTCCAAGCAGATGTCACAGATTAAAAAAAAAAAAAAGAAAAAGGAAAAAAAAAGAGTAAAAAGGGAGTGTGGCTTGGGAACGAAGCAAGAGGAAGCAAGACACAGCAGAGCAAGACCTGACTTAAAATATGCCTATCATGCTTTATGCAAACACTGGTCTTTTTTGCCCTCCTGACTATCATTAAAGTGTAATTAGTAACTTCACATGGTAAATTTGTTTCTTTAAGAAGTCATCTATTTTTTGTTCTTGATAGCAGTAACCTTACATCCATGCATGGATTGCACCTTATCACATCAAGGGTGGAACAAAGGCTAAAAGTGAGTAATTCCACGGTGCCTTTACGCTGTGGTCACTGTTCCCTCTCTTTCAGCTGGAAACCTCAGTCCTTTCCCACATGGAGAAATACAGCATTCTGCTGTTGCCTTAATGCCAGGTGAAGTGCTCCTTGGAGACCCCTGCCATGCTGAAAGTCAGCAACAAGCAAGTACTTTCAAAGCCATCGCTTTCCTCTCCAGATTTAAGCAATCTGGAGAAAAGGAAATGCTCAAGGTCATTCCCCAATGTAAATCTCATTCCTTTGCTGGCACTGCTCTCAGCTATCATACCAAACCTACACACTTTCACGCTTTCCACCCCAATAATGACGACTTGGGTATTCATTTCTCTTGTTATTTGACCTGCAGAGTCTCAATTTTTTTTTTTTTAAATTACAGAATCCAAAATTGACACGGCCTTAGAATAATGAAAAGGGATAGCGCAAAGAAATAATGCTGAATTACGTGGCATATCTGAAAGAAATCTCAGCCGCAAGCATAAAGATCAAAGGTCATGAATACTGCTGCCTTTACGAAAATGGCTCATCACAACAGTTTTTTCCACATCATCATTCAGAATTTTTGAAATAGTATTACATGCCTTTCACTCCCATCTGAAGAAAGGGGACAGACAATAATGCAAAAGAAGAATTTCAGTAATAGCTTTGCCAGTATGGATCTAAAATTTCTGAGATTTCCAGAAAACAGCAGACTGAGGAGTGCAGTAAAAATATTGTCAACCCAGCTCCTGCAGTCCATCAACATCAGCAGCATGGATGGTGGAAGAAGCTCTAACTTTACCAAATTTCCAATTAGAAAGAAACCTTTTATTCCCCACATTATTTTTGTAGGTTGAGTAAGCTGCAAAACTTTAAAAAAAGCCACATTCTTCCTGGAAAACAAAAAAGATGGTGAATAGGCAGATTCTCTCCCCAGATAAATCGATGTAACATCACTACCCTTGCACGGAGTTTCACAGAGACAACATGATGATCTTCATCTGCCAAGGTAAAACCAGAAGGAACCAACAGCCATTGCTCTCTTTGCCTTCCCTTTCAAGGATAGCCACTACCCTTCTGAATGGTTTAATACCAATCAAAAGTAATTCTGCCACTACTCATGCAAATCACTGGCCTAAGCTTAGTTTCTAAATGATCCTAAGCCATGAGTAAGGTTGCTCAGCTTGCTCTCTCACAAATTCATCACGTAGCAATCTCTTCACTAGCCTTCCCCAGTTCTAGAAATTCCCTCCACAACACCAGCAGCCAGAGGTGCCGTAGCCAACGTGTACTAACCCTGTAAGATGAAAAGTCTTCATATCAGCTTCACAAGTCCCAGGTTCTAACATAATGCTTGCCATAAGTTTTCTGCGCATGCTGGAACACCTACCCATCTGATCCCTTGCAGTCCTAACTACATTTGTATTAGAAGAACACACAACACAGAGCCTCAGCAGAGCTGTTGATCAATAAAAATGTTCTCCTTAGAGAATGCCTGTGACATCTATAAACCTGTGAGTGTCAAAACAACAGCACAAAAAATTCGGTATTCCTACTGTCACTGGGATGAAAGCTGTACAATTAATGCCAAGCCAATGACACCACAAGGAGAAATAAAACAAACAGCTGGTGGTATTATGGTCCAACATACTGCTCCTAATCTATTAACATTCTCAGGAAAAAAAAAAAAAAAGCTGACTCATGCTTTGAGAGAAATGGCATAAATCTGTTCAATGAAGTACAAAATCCACAGTATTAATTCTATTTCCAATCACACAAGGAAAATATTGCAATTAAAATGCATACATCCCCTTTCAAATGGAAAAGACACACCCAATGTGAGGAAGTTTTAGTGACCACAAATTACTATCTATTAATGAAAAGATTTTTAATGACCATCACAACTTTGAGAAGTCAATGATGTGTTTTTCCTAAAAATAGCTGAAACCTTAACTAGACCAATAACATCCACTCCGTTCTTGCCGAATGTCAGGGAAGCTTTATAAAGGGTTTCCCCCCGCTAGTTCTGTAACGCATCCAGCATTGATTCAGTGTTGCTGGTGCTAACAACGGGAACATAAAATGTAGGCAGGACACTATGCAGCTGTTGGCATTTTAACCATCTTGTCACCTTACTCAGAGTTTACATGACCTAATACTTAAAACAACAGGCACTGAGAGATCCTTCCTTCGCTACCGAAAGGAGAACTAGAACCATGCCAACAATTATAGAAAGCGTGGGGCAAAAAAAGCATAGGGTGGATGGAGCCTTTGGAAAGCAATGGATTTTTTCTTACACAGTGATGGTTAGTAAAACTCAGTTTAACAACATCAAAACAAACACCGGAAAAAATAGCTGTTGAAAACATACCTTCTTTTAATCAGGCAAAGAGGCTTACGTGAAAAAATAAGCATGTCGGAGAGGTACTGTTATAAAAGCCCTAAACTGAAGAGTTATTCACCTGCTTGCTACTTTACAGCAACTACTGCCATCCAACAGCTCTCACAGCAACTACTACCTTTGAGAGATCATGTGAGAAAATATTTAACCAAACCCTGGCATCTTCCCTATCCTACCTGCTAACTACTAGTAGCACAAGCAGCGAAGGTGTTAGTGTTAAGCTGAGGGGGCTGTGTTTGGGGACTGAAACCAGCCTAAAGCCTAGCCGTCAGCAGTCAGAAGAGCAGTTTCTCTCTTGGGTTCATCATCTTTCTAACTTACTTTCATTTCTACAGGTTTAAAGGTATTTTAAACATACTCACTAGACGAGAAGTTTCACTTGAGATAGATATTCCACGTCTTGCCACAAGGGCAAGGTAGTAAATCATACAATCACCTGACTTGCTGTATATCCATGATATCTCATTGCACTGCTTCCATAAAAAATGTTGACATTCATAGTCTTTTTTGCTGCTCATTTGCTAGTATATCCAGAGCTGACAATACTGGTTTCTCAAGTGTTCCTCAGCTACACTCTTTAATTCAAAATGCCACAAAAATTAATAAGATGGTACACCACATGCATGTTTTTAAACAGGTTCTCCTGCAAATTGAAAGGCCTAAGTCCTGTGTGAATTTAGTACAGACAAACAAATACATTAAATACTACCAGATATTTGATCTGGAGTGCTAAATAATAAATAAATAAATAAAATAGCTCACCTAAAAAGACCTTCAAGAGAAACCAGACAGACCCATATAATTCAAGCACAGTGACTAGCAATGCAAAAGTTTGATTCTACTCTGCAAATTCAAAATTAATAGATCAAATATGGAGCAAGGTGTACAGTGTTTTGTAGAGAAAAATTGATAACCCTTAAGTTTTCTGCCAATCTCTCTACTCTTTTTTCCCTAAGGATCCAAAAATCATTGTTTCAGTCTCCCAGATGATGAAGCATAGAGCAAGAAACACAGGCTCCTAAAACACAGAAAAAAAAATGGTCCATTTGGAAAAGAAGGGGAGGGGGTCACGTCCTTATACATAATGAAGTAGAAAATTCTTCCACAGTCTTGTGGAATTCTTCCAAGTCTGGGCCTTGATTGTACCAGTGTAGGAAGGGAATTCAAAGTGAGACAACAGCAAGGCTTAGGAAGAAAATAAGAGCTTGAACTAACAGCAGCGTGCATTTTGCCTAAAACCTGTGTCTTACCTGCACAGCAAAGTAGATTTTATGAGTTCACAGTAAGTGGAAAGAAGGTAGGAGTGGGCATCACAAAAATTCACACTTCACAGTTTAGAGATGCCAGTACATTTTAAAATCCTAACATCTCGATAATTCCCCATGAAAGCGAGTACTGGTGTACTTTAAAAGCATAGGGTTCAACTCATAACTATGTTACTCCAAAGTTGCAGGAATTCAATCCCACAAATGTCAATGGGATTTATATCTGGTATAAATCTACAATAATTTAGAGATGAGCTAGGTTTCCGTTTCATGAATTTCCCTTCATAAAAACAATTGATCACATTCCTCTGAGGGAGGAGGAGCCCTATACTGTCATTTGTAAGTACGTATGGGAGCCAGTAACGCACCCCAGATTTTTGTTACACTAAGTCTCTTGCTAAACCTGGATTTAGCTAAAAATGCAATGAACTGTTCAAAAATCACCCACATTAACTTATTTTTACTCCTTCAGCGCTTTCTCTACTGATGGAAAAGGACTTTTATAGCAAGATACTTCCCAATGCAAACAAGGGCACCGTGGTGCGCTCTTCTATGACCTGGCAAAAGAACAAGATTAGCTGGGCAAGGAAAGGTTTGGTTTAGCTTCATGACTTTTCTCAGTAACATTAAACACCAGCAGGTAGTATTCTAAATTAAATTCTCATGCAACCAGTGGATTAGATAATGGGATAGATCAAAGTTTAGCTATTGGTAGTTCTAAGCTACTGTTTAAGAGAGCAGCATACTACCTATTTTGCTACAGCTATATGCTCGCAACAGAAATATGACACAGACAGATGTCCTCTAGCAAACCTCTCAGGCAGGAACAATTTAAGAGATTACATCTCCAGCTATTCATTACCATCCCGATCAAGTTATCCTTTCCACAGTTCATACACGGTAATCGACCATCTGATCTAGCTTACACAAGGCAGGACCACTGAAAGCCACTTCCATCAGTGGCTTAAGCCAAGATAGTTGACTTTGCACTGAAGCAATCATTCACATATTATCTGAGTTCTAAAACCCAAAGCCGTCAATCAGGGGCAGAAAATTTTTTCAATTCTTCTCACTAGTTGTGTTGATGTTTTCTGCACCTATTGACACCGCTGCACTACAGAATTACCATCTTAAGAAGTACAAGGCAATGGCCCAGCCCCCAAGATGATTTTGTGTTACATGGATGGAAGGATCCAGTCTGCAGATCATTGCAGACTACACCAAAAAAAAAAAAATCACAGAGACAGAGAAAGAAGTACAAGACAAGGTTTTCAGCATTTCCAGTTTCTTTCAGTGCCTAATGCTAAGAAGCTTTAGGAAGCAATTTTTACACTTCAATGAAATATTAATTACCAGCCCTGCTTCATTCAACCAACAAGGCAGATGATGATGATGTTGAGAAACAACAGATTTTAATAAAACTATGAGCCTTACAGTACCTCTATGAGGTCAGGAAACACTAGTTATCCCCTTACCCAAAGGTGAGGGTGTGACAGAGTGACTGTTCTAAAAACATGTACTATTCATCTGAAAAAAGCTGTTTAGTCCTTCATGAACGTAACACCCACTTTGGAGTGGACTTTTTCCTCTCAAGAAGTGCATCAAATAATGTGCAGTCCATATTTTGGCACTGTTTAGAAACAGGGTTTTATCCATTAGATTAGTATGTCTCTTACAAATAATCCTTTATAATGGGCTGATGCAATAAACTCAATAAACTACAAGAACATCTGAGATTTTAAAGGAAACACATAAAAGATTTTGCTTTCCTTGAGTCCAGACATGAATTTCAACCAATATTAATCTACTTAAGCTCCCTTTTCGTTCTATGTTAGAAGTCTCTACTTACATTAAAGCCAAGCACACAGCGGGGCGGGGGGAAGCCACACATCTGTGAATACAGCTAAACCTATTCAGTTGCCTATTTGTGTAAACTAGCAGTGAACATATTAATTATTACCTAGAAGACAATATATTCAAATGCAGTTTTTCATAAAACAGGAAGAAAAAAAGGACACAATGAGGAAAAAAGAAAATTGATACGAATAATGCTAGACTCTTTTTCCCCCTTTCTCAATAAGAGTTAAAATCTTAACATATCGATTTTTATATATTTTCTGTTTATCTGTTTTGTCCACTATAACTCTGCCAGTTGCCCCAGGCAATCAACAAAGCTATGCTTGTTCAGCCTTTGATCATCTCTGTGCTAGAAGATTAGCATATGCATACTCTCATCCTCCCCTTTATCCTGTTAATAAAGCTCCAAACTCCCTCTGCTGATGTTCAAGAAAGCAATCCACTCCAGAGCCCCCAATGATTTGCCCCCATTCCCTCCTCTGCTCAGGACTCAGAATGCTAACTACTATGCACGAGTTGTGTAAGTGCTTATCCACCGGCCCTCTGAGGAGCAATTCTTACTTGTTTGATGCAGTCCACGTTTGACAGACGTTCCTGGATCAGATTGGCCCAAAGCGTGTTGGGAATTTCCTAAAGAAAGAACAAAAAAAGGCTGAATATTCACAATTGAGTTCAAAAGGAATTTTACCATGCAGGCATATTCCGGTTAAAGGTGAACGGAGATGTCTTCTTAAAATTAAATAAATAAATAAATAAATAAATCTGTGTGAGTCCCAAGTCATTAACATAATATATCAGAGAGTTAATAAGGGCACAAAAATCAGTGTTAAAGGTAAGCTGAACACAAAGCCTCCATCCACGCTTTTTGCACACTAACATGGAAGCAGTGCCAAGTTTTGCACGCTAACACACACATTGGACATCAAACCTGCAAAGGGATCCATAAGAACGTCACATCCACAAGGAGCCCTTTTTACCACAAGTATCTGTCCCACTGCTGCTTCATACATCAGTGGACTCAGCATTAGTGATCCTAAGAGCTGTCAGAATCTCAAACACAGAGCAAATAACAGAAAGAGTCTGATTTTCAGGAGATTTGTTTCATAGTTTCAAGTAACTCTCACTCTTTCATCACCCAGAAAGTTTATTTAAAGTACGCTTTAATGTTAAAGTTAATTTTAATGTTAAATTTAATTTATTTTTAAACTCAGGAACATGAAATGCAATTGAAACTGCAAGTACCAAGATTTTCAGAAGTGCTTTTTCTTTCTGTGACTGTTACTTTGCGCACATCTAGAGATGTTTTGTAAGACAGTATTTGCTATCTGACAGAAGAACAAAGTTCCTCTATAGATTTAGCATTTCCCCCCCCCCCCAAAAAATTTCTTCCACTATTGTATTAGATTTCCAGACAAGAAATTACCAACACCCTTCTTCCCTTCTTGTAAGAATTTTTCTTCACTATCTTGTTAATTTAGGCCTTCATTCTATGCTGAGCTTGGTTGAACAAACTCTATGTTAAGCAGTTAAAATTGACAAAGTCTAAACCTTCGGCCATGCCAGTCAGAGCAGCTGTTAATCATTGCACTAAATGCCTTGTCTCAGTCTCATTCATTTTCTCATTATTGGTAAAATGAATACTTGGAAAAAATTCCGCAGTCAGATTCTCCACTTCCCAAGTCAAAAAACTATCTTTCACTTAACGATGTGAGCTTGACTCTTTGTTCCACACAGTTCCATACATTGTGGGTTCCCATCTCTTTTTTGAACCAAACAGTCTGAAGGACATAATCATAAAAAAAGAATATTTCTGCAGGCTTATGTTATACTGAAGAATGTAGATAGATATAATGAAAACGTGACTAACTATGCGGAAAGATTTCATAACAATCGTCTTCATTAGATCATGAAACAATTTCACCAGGAGTGGTGGAAACACTACCACAGGAGGCACTTTAAAGGAGAGTGGAGCAAGCACTCCAGAATACACAAAGAGACCAGTCCTCGGCTGGCTGTGGAACGGACAAGGTGGCCCAGTCAGGCAGTGGGTTTTCTTGTTTTATTTATCTCTACTGTCCCCAGTTCTCAGTGCCTTTCCTAATATCAGCCATTCATAAGGCAACATTCAAGCAGGTAAAAGAGACAGAAATTGCTGTGTTTCTTGGAAGTCAGCAGGTCCCATAGGGTGGTGCGTCAAAGCCTCCTGCAGCCTCTCGCTGCTGGAGCCTGGGTCTGTGGCTTTGAGTCTGTCACCTTCCAAAGGTGCATCACGCTGCTATCAGAAACAGCTAGCGTCTTGCTTACTTCTTTGATGTGTCATGTCAAGACAGGCTAGCAACTGCCGGGGGTCCACTCTGCTAAGCCTTGCCAAACCAATTTAAACCAAAATTATACTAACTTCTTTCAGTGCAGTGGTATTCTTAGTTCTCTCTTTTGAGCGGGGTTTATTGCACAAAAACAATCAAGGAGACACATGCGGGTATTTCAGTCTTTTAGTTCCTTCTGCTCTCTGTGGCTCAATTCCAGTCTCATTTCCTGGTCAGTTTTCTTCCTACTGAGCAGTGGCCTACAAAATCATTTTCAATAGGTTGCTTGTAGAATGCCTAATTATTCAACTAGAAATCATTAAATTTGATACATATCAGAAAACACATTAATTTCTCTCTCATAAACACTCATATAAATATATCATGGGCCCGGTAGATGGGACTTCACCTCCCAGAAATCTGCAATAATCGACAATGACACACATACGTTTGATAACTGCAGAACCGTATCTACTCTAAGGCACTCGGAGCCTGTCCCAACACCCAGGTTAGTTAAGGGAAAGCCCTGCTGCTTGAATTGTTAAACCTTCCAAAAGCCATGGTATTTTACATTCAGACCACTCTTCTATACACACTGGTTTAATCACTATTTCCATACTTCTGAAAAAACTGTACTCATTCCTGATTAATTTCAAACATTCCATGTTATTTCAGGGACATCATGCCTGATCTACTCATTATGTTTCGGCAATCTTTTCATAAAACTGCTACGCTTTCTGTTGCCAGGGTGGGGGGAGCACTTTCCCTAGACCCTTCCATTGGAAGTTGTGGATGTATTTGCCCTGAAAACATCTACAGCTGAAAACTTCTGACTCGGTTGGTTTTACGGTTTGCACCTCAGAGAGAAAATCAGTCAAGTTTAAAGAAATTGGGTTTAGTATTTTGAAAATCATGAATGTTTAGATTTAGCTTGTTCAGATAAATACACATGAAAGGCCGGGTTTTTTGATGTATACACAAGACTGGAACAGTTCCTATTTGGTCCTTCATAGTGGCTTGTCCTGAAATAGATTAGAACGCTGAACATGCATAGATAAGGACGTCTTTGGTTCTCCTCTCTTCTATTATATTTCTTCTTAAAAAGCACAGGCATATGATGCAACTGTGGAGTAGTTTTAAGTCATTACGTAGTATGCAAACAGCTTAACTGCAATTTAGTATAGCATTAAGAGCACACCCATCCCATAAGCCCACAATTACCACAGTTGTTTCAACTCCTTATTTTATCCAGTTAACAGGAAAAGTGAAACATGCGATAGCTCATCATTAGACTTCACTATAGGAAACATCTGAAGGTGCTTCCTATTAACATTATAATAACTAGAGATGAGGGAATAATTTGCAATGATTTATCAAAAAATGTAGCCTCTTTTTCTGTTCATGGAATATTTATTGATAGCTCATGGTTCTTCAAATTTATTGAATATTCAAAAATATTTGACTTCTTTTCAGAATACTTTTACATGCAGAATGATCACATTTTGCTTTGAACAGTCAATATTTAAAATTCACTACCTGAGCTGTGCTCATTAGTAAGTGGCCAGGTGTGTGTTAGTGAATGCTTGCATGTCCAACTTTAAAAATTGAGCTTCAGAGAATAATCACATATTTTAAATACGCCTTCCATGAATTCTCGTGACAGAAAAACTCAAATGCTTTAATGTCCACTGGAATTGAACACAAAAGAGATGAAAGCTTGGCTAAAGATAAGTAAGTAAAATACGTGAACAAACATTTGCAGACCTTTTTGCAGCGTTTGTGCACATCTAGTAACAGTGGCCTACTGACCTCAAAATGAATGACCTTTGGCACCGGGGTTAATTGAGCCACAGTAACCTTATACGTGTGAAATATCTTCCTCTAACAACATTAAATTGCGTTATATGATCTTCACACCAGACTTTCAAAAACACAGTCTTAGTTCCTGCTTTTCCTCTTTCCATTTATTAAATTGCTTTGGCCAGGACTACAACTTTTTAATGCCCTGGTTGTATCAAAGACAGTATTAAACAGCTATTGTTCTGTTCCTGAACAGACATTCAAACCCTATTAGTGCTAATGGATGTTATGTATGCTAGAGGAGTCAAGTTTACCACTTGCTTCAGCAGAACCAGGGGTCAGTTACAGCAAAAGCAGATTTAGCCAGCAGACATGAATCAGTAAGGGAAAATATAGCTCTTGAGATGACAATTTGGCTACATTTTAAGTCATAGTAAAGCTTGCATAGATTAAGAGGAAGCCAGGAGTTCCCTCCTAGTTTTAGGAGTTACATTTGAAGAATCAAACTCATACAAAAGAACAAAAGAAGTGATTTAGTGAAAATGTTCTTCTAGGATCTAACGCCTCAAAAACAAAGGCAAACTGCACAGTGCGAAACCACCACCAGATTCTGCTCTTCGGGCACTCCTTACTACCTGATTAGCCTTGACATTTTTGACTTTCATCTTCCATACCATCCATCTTTTAAAATCAAATAAGCCCAAAAGGACACCCTTGAAAGTGCATCTGTATAGCCTGAAATATGTTAATAATTACAGTAATTAAACCAAAGGGAATTTTTGCTTTAAATTCTCCCCCTCTAAGTTGAAATTTATGAATCTAGCAAAACAATCTTTAATAATTAGAAAAAGATTTCAAAGTACATATTCTCGATAAGAATCATTTTATATCATCCCAGCCAAGAGCAAATCTTTTTGCCAGTAAGTTCTTTCCTCTCAGATCTTTAAGTATACTACTTGAGGCATCTTCAAACTTCATTCACTAATTCAGTGTAATAAACACTACCCTATTTTCAGCCTAGTTTTCTAAGGGAAAAAAAATTAATCCACGTATCACACCATCTACCATCTCGGTAAATTATGAATCTGTTGGCCAATTTCAATCAAATTTAGCAGCAGTGTAGAATTCTCAAAGAAACGAAATTGCTTCAGTTTTTATGAAAACAGGTGACGAGGGAGAAAAGAGAAACTCAAACTAGTGGACTTGCTAGAGAAAGTCACAGAAAACCAGACTTCTTCCATTCTGTTACTCATGGAACACCTTGACATCTGGAGAAAGGAATCAGCTAAAAGGGCAGGAATCAGAAGCAGAGATGCTTCTGTGTGTTCAGGATAGTCTTTCAACATATTTTTCCAATCTATTTGTCACTAGCCTTTAATAACAAGACAATTACACTGCTGATCAACTAATCCTGTGAGTCATGACATCTGGAAAATATGTTCCTTGGACCAACCCCTTTGAACATTAGTTAGGAGGCCCACAGTGAAGCATGAATGGATTTAAAAACCTGTCTGGAGCAAACCAGATACTCAGAGTTGGGTAGAGCGCAGCAACCCAAGAACTGAACTATCTCCTGAGTCGGTTGCTGTTGCCTCGGCTTGAGAGCTTCCAGGGTTTTCAATAACTGACTGGATTGTCATACTGCTTTTGAGTTAGTGCACCAAGTAAGTTGCGTCATGCTACAGAGAAATCAAGCATGCACAACTAAGTAGCTCTGTCAGATCAAAAAAAGTTCTTTGTGTACATATTTTCCAGAGCATTTTGTACCAAAAGAGACCTCAGAGATTAATGCTTATTTTATTGAGATTATCAAACATGCTGAAGCAGAAGACGCTTTGTTTAATGATATAACGAACCATTCTTTAAATTGTATTGTGCATACCTGGACTTCTCTCAATTCTGTTGCTCATGTCTGGGGTTAGTGTTTTCAAGACCTCCATTACTTTACACTGCCTTCCTCCCCTGCCCCTATCCTATGCCCTGACACATTTTTATCTTTGTTCATATCTTCTTATCTAGCAGAGGTTACCCTTCTTCTCTGAAAGGCTCTGTACCTACATATACACAAACCAATGTACAAACCACCATAGATACAAGAATATTGACTCTGACCTGCTCAATTCCTAGCAGTGGAAATCATGGGAATGCCATATAATTCCTCTTCTGTGACATGAGAACTACTATTATTATATCCTCTTACACACCTCTTTTCTTTCTTTATATGCCTTTGCTTCCTTTGTCAGCGCTAATATTTCCTTGAATAACAAAGTCTCCTGAGAGATACGTATGGCATCCAAATGTTTACAAAGCCACATTGCCTGAGGGAAGAAGAAAAAAAAATACAGGTTGAAATATTTGGAAAGAAAATGAAGCATTTTTTCAGAAGGCTGCAGAAAGACAGAGCGTTTTCCTAGCCTCCATTTAAGTAAACAGACTATCTGTGTAACTTTATGCAGTTTCTTATAAAGATGTTCAAGAGTCTACAGCTTTGAATAAGGTCTTTTTCATCTACTGCACTATAACACAGATTTTAAAGAAGGAAGCATTCTTCCTAGCATGCACACACCACCATCACCTGCAAAGTTTCTGTGGTCAGCTTTCTCTGTGCTTCAAATACAACTTTGACATTTTCCGTTAAGCAGTACCAGTGGACGTGGCAGACAACTGGCCATGCAAATGAAGCAATCCACAATATCGGAATACCACAAACGTGTAACTATGGTACTCCTCCCAGGTTAATCAGGCCTGCTAAAAAGCTGGGAAAAAAAAGGCAGGCAGAATTCTGTTGCATTACAGCAGTACCACTACCTGCGCGAGTTCTCGCAGAGCTCACTTGAACGTTTCCATTTAACCGGTAGCGTAATACACAGGCATACCCCTTAGGAACGCCACCCTTCAACTTGTCGTGTGCTCTTCTATCACTTTGACAATTCTGAAAATTATTTTCTCAGAATAAAATTTTCACAAGCGCTGATCTCAGTAGAAAGTAAAAAAGGTAACTAGGCAGTGTTATAACATTGAAGGTAGTGTGCTTACAACTGTAGTTTTCCCAGAAGCAGGTGGACCCAGTACACAAATTCTTGGAGCTGTGAAACAAGAATATGTGAATGTCAAGATGCAGAACAGCAAAAATCCCAAACGGTTTCCCGCTATTGCATTGCATAATATAAATGTAATCACAATGAAACAATTATTTCAGTTGGATATCCGCCTAAATGGAGACTTCAGGATTGGGCTCCACCGGGGGAAAAAAAGGGGAAACACTAAGTCAGCGACAGCTGGGTCTTCCTTTAATCTCCATGGTCAATGAGATTAACACTCTGACTAAACATGGCACTTAAGCATCTATATATATAAATATATATATATATATATATCAATAAATTTAAACACATGGATAGTTTAGTGGGTGAACCAGAGCATAAGATATGAACATTTCCTTATCCGAGTTTGACTTTTATTCCCAAAACACTGATTTAGACATAACACACTTTGTGATGAAAAAATATTTTAGCTTGTACATGCAGGACAAGACTATTTAAAAGTGACTATTATCATAATCATAGAATGATTGAGATTAGACGGGACTTCTTGGGATCATCTCTCATTTCTCTTACACAGGATGGTAGTATAAATACTTTTTACTTTGGCAAAGCTTTTGGCTCTCATCACAAAAAATCCAATTTCACTTTTTAGTTTCATCTAAATAGGTTGTGTCAGGGTTCAGAGAAGATGTAGATATTGCAAAATTAAGCACTCTCTCTCCCCTTTTTGACAGCTACCTTCAATTTTTCTAGTCATCGTTAAAAGCAATTTTCTTTGTCTCTGTATCTTGTGTTTCTCTACTGCGTGTCCCTCTCCTTTCCCTGAGGGGGCAAGGTGGGAAAAATGCATCCCGGTTCTGAGGAATTCTTAATCTAATGCCTACAGAGAACACAATAGGCATTACCGTCGCAAGCTTCATTGGGAATGAATTAGAGGCAAGACAAACAAGGGAAAATGGAGTAACTCTTAGGAAAGTATTTGGGACTTTTTCCATGAACACATTTTGGGCTGCAATCCCTTGAGCTGCCATTTTATATTAACATCGCTGATGTTTTCTTCCCCTAAACCTCAGGGAAAAAACCAAACCAAAACAGACTATGTACAGAAGGGACTGATGAGTATTCACTGGGAGTAACCTAGGTGAAAACAGAGGAGGGATCTACTCACCCCAAAAACCTCTTCAGCTCTTGATAACCAAGGGAGATACAGGGTCTGATGGCAGCAGACAGGGAAGGATGTGAAATGTATTTTTATGAGGCCTTCCATGCACGTAACAGTTATTGGGCAGGTGCAATTTTTAAACATACATGAAACCCAAATTACAGATTCATCTTTACAAAGTTATCTGACTTGGAAGGTTTAAGAAAAACTCCCCCCTTATTGGTTCTTGCAAGTGCAACAGAACTAGTACACAATGTAGAAAAATACTTTAAAAGGATACATCAGCTGTTTTTATCACCTAATTTCTTTCAAATGTAATGTGATTAAATCCTAGGTTTTTTTTTTTTAATCTAACACCTTGAAACTCCAGCCCGGTACTTAGGAATTATTTATAAACAGCGTCATAAAAGAGTGCTCGGGTGCCAACACTAATCAACTTCTTCAAACCACTTCAAAGAAAATCAAAAAACCTTTCCATCCACAGATCCTTTTGAGGTTTAACTAGGAGCATGATTTAAAATTCACAAGAAAACCCTTAGGTATTGAAGCTTTAATACACAGCTTTCTTGGACAAACGTTTGATAAAAAACGAAACATACCATTATATACACCATATCATGCTTTAATATTGCCCAGGGCTACTGTAAATGCTCACTTTGTACTAAATCTGTTTTTCTCTCTGCTTAGTGGCTGGCAGCAGATGGGGCAGTGTAATTCACTGATTTACTCATTTGCACACTTGTAAGACTCCTGTAAAGCATTCTCCCTAAACATATGACACAAGGGCACAACCAGGACACCACCGTATGTAATGTTTAACCCCCTCCAATCAGCAAACAGTCAGTATTTAGTACTGGAGGTCTCAACCAGCAGCTAAACGAAGTCAGGAAAATCTAGAAACTGCCTTTTTCTTCAGTAACAAATCACATTTCATTCCATATTTAGTCTTGATGAGGTGTTACAGGATTTACTCTTCCAAGTAAAGTACGTTTTAACATTCAACAATGATTTTAGTAATAACAAAATTAATCCTGGAATAATGCAAAAGAACAGCTGGACTCACTGCGTTCCATTTAAGTCCAAAAGATTCTATGATTAATATTACTGTGACAAAATTTGCTTAACTTGTAAGAGAAATCCTTTGTCAAAGAGGAAAAGCACATAGTACATGAGGAACATTCTTGCAGAACTTTTTTACATTTCTTCAGAGGTTTGACTGTAAAGGAAGAATCCACAGAAATGCCACTTGCATCCTGAAAGCTTTTTTTATCAGCACAAACCAAGATACAATGTAGAAAACTCGCATCTTTTTATATGAAAGAATTATCAGTCTTCATGTGGTTCTTTAAGGCTTTTAGAAGGATCACATGAAAGAACAATAGTACAGAACCTTAAGCACAAACACTTAGCCACACATTTGACCTATGAGATTTTCAAGACAGTTGTAAGCTATAATCATCATTAGACTTGTTTATATTTTTAAGAGTACTTTAGATCCTATTATTAATTAAAAAGGTTTTCTAACTTCACACCTGGGATAGATGCAATGCTCCTTTTCCACACATCTCTGTTTGAAATTTTCTCTAGGGCTAAAACTGTCTAGCAAGGCAAGATCATGAAAATTCATCACTTTACTGATGGCTCTAATAAGGGTTTTTTCCCTTCTAAATAGTCAGCACCTTCCACCATGATCAAAAAGTAAAATCAACTCTGCTACACATTTCTGTTACGTTATTTTCCATATAATTTATTCTTAAAACATTTAGGCTTTAATTTTAATTGGAGTTCCTTCCCTTTCTTAATAGGTTTTTCCAGACCAAAATCAAACAGCATTTTTCCTTTGACAAACAACTGCTGTCGTTCTATCTTTAGCCTCTAAGTACTGAAGTCATGAAATGGAAACCTGCCTAATTCTGTTCAAATAATACCGTGGGGCTTAAGGACAAACGTTAGCTCGATGTGAAGAAATTTTATCAGCATTCTATCAAACCGCATGAAATTCTTCCGCATGTTTTCCACGGGTCTATAAAACAGATTGATTACTCATGCTGCCCGCATCAGAAAAGGCTGGACACAATTTGCAGGATTGGATTTTTTTTTTCTTTTATATTTAGCAGCATTTCAATCAACATCCATCTGATCACCACCACTAAGAGCTCACCGCACCTCTAGTGATAATTATTTCATTGATGCTGCAGCAGAACTTCCATAATGGTTTACTATGGTTTTAAAGAAACATCAAAGCAACATGACACCAGCTATCCCTGACAGCTCATGCAGAACAAAAATTATAGTTCAGTTGTGCATATCCAAATATAATCTGCCTAAGGGTGAACAGTTTGTAAATCAAATAATTTGATTGAGCGTACATGTTTTTATTGTGCAGAATACAGACTTCCTATTCAATTTACCAGGTTTTGTTATACATACAAGTAGGCAAGCTCACTGTTCCTTCATCTGAGATGCCACTGAGCAGTGGAACTCATTAACAGCACCCAGTAACTAACTAATCAAAAAACAGAGAATCTGCCAGCCCAGGTAGAATAGGAAACCAAATTTACACCTGACAAAAGGAGTAATTAGCGAGCTTAAAGACAACAGGAAATATCAGATGGGGCACAGAACGCATTAATAATTGATACACTAGAACTCTTTGTTATTCCCTTAGAGGGTTTCATTGTTATAACTGTTAAAGTGCATTTTTTATTAGATTACCCACTAAAAAAAGAAATTAAAAGCATCTTACCTATAACTATTCCAAAACGCTCACCTTTTTCTTTTTTTTCCCCCTCAAGACACAGTCTGAAAAGTTTTATCCATCATTTGCCAACTGAAGCGCAGATTTCAAACAGCTGTTTACAAATAAGGAATTGAACTATTTATGGTGTCTCAATTTTCACTTACCATCGTCGTTGTTTTGCTTTAAATGGTTTATCATAAACTGAATGGGATCATCTGGCTTATGAATTAATAGTTCTTCAAGCATGTTCTGAAAATAAATAGGACAAAGTCAGAGGAAAATTTAACATAGCTATGCAGTCATGATATATTCCATTCTTACAGCACTGTTCCAATGAGGATCTTAAAGAGTTTACAAATGCTTAAGCATTTTCTCAAGGCCCCTTTCACAGACAAAATTGAGACTATGAAACCTACTTGAGATGCTGAAAAAACTGAAGTAAAGCATGGTCAGAAAGTTGCTAATTAAAAAATAAGCTATTTGCTTTAGCTTATTTATGATACGTATAGACACCAGAACGGTTTGGTGACTGCATGTATCATACAGACCACCTCGAGTCTGGTGCCGATAACGGTTGAGTCAGCATTGACTTAAAAACCATCCAAGGAGTTTTGAAAACAAAGACAACTTAAATTAGTATCTCTGCAGGGCAAGTTAAACCTCCTTCTCGAGCACATTCCCACAAGTTTCCGACTAGCCTAGAGGACTGCAGAGCAGACGAGACCTGCAGAAAACACACAAAACCAACACCTAACCAAAGCCACAAAAGCAGGACATCTCACTTTTCTAACTGTACCCGTCTTCCTCCCACATGAAAGGGGGAGGCGGGGAAGAAAAAAAAAAAAAAAAAAAAAAGGCTTAAAGCATTCCCTTGAATGTCTATTTTGGAGCCCATTTTCGTATTAAATGTTTGAGGTTATACAGGGCCTTGCTTCAGCTCCCACCGATAGCAGTGGGGATCTTCCGCCGGTTTCAGCGAGGATTGTAGCTTTACAGGCAGAGAAAGGAATAACACTGAGAAACACTAATTCCATCCATTTTCTTACAAGGCATTTCAGCACAGCCACGAATTCTGTAATTAAAACTAAACATCAAACAGCAACTAATGTTCTGCCTTAGATTACCTATTGAAAGGCTCACACTGGAATAGGATGTCTTTTTCTAAAAATCAGTCATAACGCTTTAATATTTGCAAGTAAATTCCATAAAGTCTGTACATTCCATAAAATTTTATACTCTAACCAATTGATTGTCTTTTATTAGCGTGGCCTATTTTCCTTTTCTGCTTCATCCTCTTCATTAGAATAATTAAAACACTCAATATTTTTTATAAACTATTTCACATGCAAGTTCTGATGCTTCAAGGTCTGCGTAGTACATAGCATATAGTATAAAAATTGTATTTTTATTGGAAGTTAATTCAAAAATTATTACTTCCCAGCAACATTTATTTAAACTAAGAAATTGGAATTTGGCACTACAATTATCAGTAGCTTTAAAATTAACAAACCTAGAACATTTGGTCTTAGGATTCTAAAGCGTTCAGGCTGACAGTGATTGATACTTTCACTATTTCGTGCCCAAATCCTACCGCGCACTTACGTGCTTCCTTCATTCTGTTCATCTCTGGGGGATGTTCACAGTTTGGGTCTCACGTTTTAGGTTTCACATTTTGAGTTTTGTAAATGTTTAAGTTCAGGACAATAATTGCAAGCTGTGTTTGTTTGTACTGTTATGTTGCTACAATGCAACTGAAGCATGAAAAGAAAACAACACTCTGAGTAAATCCCATAAGCATTTTACGTAATACGAGGACCTGCAGCTGCATTCAGTGCCTCACGGCATGCAAAACAGAGTGTTTCCACAAAAACCCGCAAATATTACGCCATGCTGGTCAGGCTAAACGGCCTTAAAGTTACACGAAAAAAAAGAAGAGGAGAAAAAAGAAAAGGAAAGAAAAGAAAAATAAGCATTTGTGTGTTTTCCGATGAGATTTGAAAAAGGAAAAAGGCCTTACAACATACAAATCCGAGCTATGAGAAGCGTTAGCACCGGTACACGGGGGGAGTCTCTCCAACAAGTTCTCATAACCCAACAGTGCCAGAATATTTAGTCCCTCGCACAAACCTCCCCACGCTGGACAGAAGGGCTTTTCCCAACCCCACAGAACGAACCGTACCTTCCTCTAAGGCAGGGAAACCAACCTCGCTATTTACTGAAACCACAACGATGCCAGGAGTGTACTTCTCTTGCTTTATTTTTGACACACATCTCCCCAGAAAAGCCCCAACCGCAGCAGAAACGCACGGAGAGGCGGTTTTAAAGGGGTAACGCCGGTGAGGAGCGGCCCGCGCCAGGAAGGGCGAAGCCCTTTTCCCGCGCTTAAGTCGTTACTGCCTCTCCTCCTCCTCCTCCTCCTCCTCCTCCTCCCTGGCCTGCCCGGCCCGCCTTGCCTTTCACGGGCTCAACGCCTTCCTTCCACAGGCTGCCTCTTTCTCCCGCAAAAGACGCCATGTGTGAACCCCAGCAACCGCCAGGCTGTTATTAAAATAATTAACTAAGAGAGCCCTCAGCCGGTGCGCGTTCCCTCAGACGAGGGCACCCACCCGCGCCTTTCCACGGGCGCCCGTTACCGGCCGCGGGGGGAAATGCCCGCGGCGCTGCCCCCCGGGCGAGCCTTCCCGGAGCCGCCCCGGGCTC